CTGTACGGGATTGCCGAAGTGGAGCATGCGATGCGGTAAGATTCAGTTTGGGCCTAGAGCTAACAACTTCGCTTTAAAAAACCACTCTAAGATTGATTTCCAGTAGTCTTGCGAAGCCGGATGGACCGCAGCCGCCCGCTTCGCGAGTTTGTCAGCCTGGCCCTGTCTTACCCCATTTATTCTTCACTTTTGCATAATTATCAGGAATTCAGAGGTAAAGAAAATGGTAAACAAGCTCTTCTGTGCCTTTATTTAGTCGAATCCCCGCTTCCGGTCTATGCTAATTATTTCCTAACAAAAAAGGTTACACAAAAACTTAAATTTAATGTCGAAAATCGCTGATTTTGTAAAATCTGATATACGTTCAGTCACCTCCAGACCATCACGCACCTAATGACTATCAGATGTACTCTGAAATTCATACCCTAGCCCGAAATTCTCCGGACAGACATACAGGGTGTCCCAAAAAAAAAGCACCCCCCTCTAGCGGCGCGCAGTCGTGTCCGATTTTTATCGTTTAGGTATCTATCGAAAGCTCTTGAAAAGGCGAGAAAACAAGAGGGTTCATTTTTATTATCTATTTTTATTAGCAGATTTTACGTCCAAAAACCATGAAAACGGCAGATTTACGCGAAATCTGCATGCTAATCGCGAAATTCCTATTGAAAATCTACCTGTTTTTTAGAAAAACGTTGAATATCCAGCGTATAAAAATAAATCTCATAAAATAAATCCTGCTTGTTTCTCGTCTTTCCGAGAGCTTTCGGAATGGTATAAAAATCATCCTGATCTGAGCTTCCCCCGGACCGCTAGAGGGGGGTGCTTTTTTTTGGGACACCCAGTACAGAAGTGGATGCAAAGTGGCACACACAAGCGCTATTTTTATTTATAGTGGGAGTATTAAAAAAAATGGATAAATTTCAGGAGCTGAGTGCTGTCAAATATTGCGAGCATTTTGCTGCGACGTTCGATGGTTTGCTAAAACCCTGACCCTGGAGAGGGGCGCCGGGGCGGCTTCGCTCTTATTCCGAACAGACGACTTTACGGATGTCTCTAGGGATTTAGCGACCAGGTCTCTTCGGGTATTGCGTTAACAGAAGACCAGCTACCTTACGCCCAGCATCCTTTGCCTAACTAGGGAGGTATCTGAACACGGCATCGAACTTTGAGAAGTCATATACACCATTCGACGCGCCTTGTCGAGGGCATTCCAAATATGTAATTAAATCAACCAGAGCATATAACGGTAAAAAGTTATGAGCATTTTAAGTTTTGCACCGAAAGGCGCCGCTGCGATATGAGCCCCTCCCAGCGCACCCTGTGCATCGGTTCTGTGGCCCAGTGGTGTGCGCATGGGTTCCCGGGGTGTATGACCAGGGTTCGATCCGCTCACGACTTTTATTTTTTGCTTTTTGACAGGTTTCTACTTTTTAAATTTCCAAGTTCGGGAATAAGTTTTTCTGACTGTGTGACCCCAAAAAAGCACTAGCGATGATAAAATAACCTCGGACAAGAAAACCAGCATTGGACGCTCTCTATATCAAAGTTGGCAAAATCGTCAAAAACCGCCCCTTTAAGACTCTGTATGAATTCGAAAAATGTAATTTGGTCAAAAATAGAACAATTACATCTTGATCAGCAAAATTCCCTTCGAATGAGCTAACTTACATAGGCTTTACGCCAAATACTCGAAACGTCTTCGGCAAGCTGGCCATACCCTACCCTTACACTGCATTCCAAAAATCTTTTTGCGGAAATTTTTGGCAGCCGTTAGTAATATAGTTCATTTGAAAGAGCTTTCTTTGTTGAACAAGAAGCACTAATCAGTTTAGACTAAATTCCATTCCGCGGGAGGATACAGGGTCTCAAAGATACTGTTTTTCACCATTTTGTTGACTTTGAATGCTCATAACTTTTTACGGTTATACGCTCTGGTTGATTTTATTACATATTTGGAATGCCCTCGACAAGGCGCGTCGAATGGTGTATATGACTTCTCAAAGTTCGATGCCGAGTTCAGATACCTTCCTAGTAAGAACAGCGAATTAGACCAGCACTTTACCTAGCCTTCTCCATCCATCGATGAGTGTGCTCGTATTCGAATGGTTTACATGCGGATAAACTTTGTGGATACTTTTGTATCCTTATACCGAAATGCATTGGATTCTATTACACGACGATTGTGGAAACTACCACCATTCCCAAATTTTTGTGTTACGTAGTCTGGTAGTTGTGGTGGTGGTGGTGCTGAGTGGTTGTGGTGGTAGTGGTGGTGGTTCTGGCCTTGGTAGTTGTTGCGGTGGTAACCGTAGTCTTCTTGTAGGGATCTCCTGTGGCGTATCCTTGCTTGGCGATTGTATAGCGAGTGTCTAGACATCTACTAAATCTCGCTGCGAATGGCCAACCTGGTCTTTGCGACACGCCATCACCTTCGGGCTCCAGTCACACCTCAGGTCATTCCATTTTCCGGCGCCAGTGGCTTCCATGTTTTGCTCCAGACTCTTCTTGGGGTCGAACTTCCAGTACCGCACGAACATCTAAAAAAAATCCCCATCAACTATTCGTCCCGACTTATTTTAGTAGTCCGATGAAGTTCTCACCTCAACGCACTCTTCCTTTTTTCCATTGTGCTTATCGCTCGGCTCTCCCTTCTTCCAATTTGTGTAGTTGAACCTTTTCCCATCAATCCATTCAAATCCCAGAGGACCACTGCCCTTCTAAAACAGGACCTACGCGGGCGCCTATTTACGTCTGCGCCTCTATTTCCCTCCATCTGACTGATTGTGAGTAATTAGGAGCCCGGGTCGCACGTGCCCCAATGTGTGCTTTACTCCCAAAGCGATAGGTTTAACTACCTTCGTGGCGCCGAGGAGATACGCTTCATTCTTCTTCACTTGAGCAATGATTCCGAATTCTGAAGATGCTGTAACGATACTGAAAGAGGATATACCTAGGATATCCTTATTTTCCTCCGCATTCCCGACGGAAGCAACCGTTGCACCGTAGAGTCCGCATTCTGCTTCCGCTTTCGAGATATCGACATTTTTCTGATCAGCTAGAAAAGGACAGAGCTGCTGGATCTAGCTCTCTTGTCGCATGGATACCTTGAAACAGCTTCTCGTCCGGTTCAGCGCCGTCCATCCCGCTTCACAAGTTAGCTAAAAATCATTTGGCCGCTTGTAGTCGAAACTTACCGCATCGCACGCTCCATTCCGACAATCCGGTACAGCGGATACCGTAGTCGCTAGGAACAGCAGAAATATGGCGGACTTTTCCGCCATCTCCCGTCGATCCGTTCTCAAAGAATATCCAATACATGGGCGGGGAGTTTTATAAGCATCGCCTTGCAAATTTTATGTGGTCAAAAACCAGCGCGTTTCTTCGGAAATTCATGCGTCGACGTTGGAATCTCCAGCATAATTCAGAGCGTATCGCATTTCCGTTCCGAACGCCCCCGGGTTCTGGAGCTTTTGAAAATTGCAAAGTGGCGCGCCTGAAAAACAAGGAAACTTGACCTGTAACTGACATTCTTGGCGATCGGATCATCCGGAGGTGGCCGGGAGTTCGGTATATTGCTGCTGGCTCTGGCGGCTACTGTATTCGCGGTACCGAACTTTAGAAATGGGACATGCGAGCAATACACAGTTGGCACATCGGGACATTTAGTTTGGGCCTAGAGCTAACTACTTAGCTTACAAAACGGTTGGCAGTCGCCTGATCGAAAAATCGTCTGATCGGAAAATCGCCCGATCGAAAATCACCTGATCGAAAGTCGTCTGATCGAAAATAACTCCAAAAATTTTGGGCTTTTCTAGGCTTCTAACATGTGTTAAAACTACTTTTTGAGTTATTACCGATTAGACAATTTTCGATTTTCGATCAGGTGATTTTCGATCGGGCGATTTTTCGATCCGACGATTTTCGATCAGGCGATCTTTCGATCTGGTGACTGGAAATCTTACTAAACCATTGTGTGTAACAACCTATTGTTTTTAGCTAACCTGCGAAGCGGGATGGACGGCATTGCACGGGACGTGAAGCTGCTTCAAAGTATCCATACGACCAGACAATTGACATTTGACACAGTTCCCTGCCCTGGAAAAAGAAAGACGCATGCGTAAATAGGCGCTCGCCTAGGGCTTGTTTTTGGAAAGACAGTGGAAATTTTGGATTTGAATGGATCGATCCGGTTCAATTACACAAACTGGATGAAGGGAGAGCCCAGCGATAAGCACCCTTGAAAATCGCAAGAATGCCTTTGAGGAAATAATTACCAAAAAAGGATCCGGGGAGACCTGCAGCGACATGCCGGTGAGTTTTGTTTGTAGCAAAAAATATGTAAATAAAAATAGTTATGTTGCCTCCCCCCCCCTACCCGCTGCGTATCCTACATATACCGGTATACAGGGTGTCCCAAACCCCCCTCTAGCGGTCCGTGGGAAGCTCAGATCAGGATAATTTTTATCCATTCGAAAGAAAAGGCGAGAAAACAAGCGGGCTTCATTTTCTAAGATTTATTCTTATTCGTCCGATATTCAATGTTTTTCTAAAAACAGGCAGCTTTTCAATAGGAATTTCGCAATTAGCATGCAGATCTCGCGTAAATCTGCCGTTTTCATGGAATTTCGAGGTAAAATTCGCCAATAAAAATACATAATAAAAAATGAACCCTCCTTGTTTTCTCGCCTTTTCGAGAGCTTTCGATAGATACCTAAACGGCGAGAATCGGACACGTCTGGGCGCCGCTAGAGGGGGGGTTTTTTGGGACACCCTGTATATACCGGTTCAGGGTTTATCGAATCGCAATTCTTACAGGTGAAGTTAAGATGTATTTATCGGTGCTCAATAGCCGTATGGCTTCTTGCAGACGACAGGCTTTGCCCAGCTGCATGGGTCGTTGTTCCATTCATATGTGTTGTCCCACCCGTTCCCGTTCCGGAATGTCATGATCTAAAAAGGTTAATTGGCCAGGCTCGTATAACATTGTCAGTCATCGTGGTTTCCAGGGGTAAATCCTTCTATTAAAGGGGCTCCGAACTCCCAAAAATTAGGTTACGGCCCGAAAACCCGAGCCCTGTACCTCAACGGCCTTTGCACACCACACAACCGCCCATGGCTTCGGTCCAGATGGTTGAGGGAAAGGGCAAACCGTACGTGTTTTTCGCGCGTTGCAGGCGGGTGCGCGGAATAGAAACCAGTTTTTAGCTGCGCAGGCCTGCTTTCGCAACTGCGCGATGCGTCTAGCGCACGCGTTGCGGTCTTCCCTCCTTACCAAAGCTACCGGACGTTTTATTAGGAGCCGGGCCGCTGTGACCTCAGGGAGCGGGAAGCGCATGAATTTGAAATTCCCTGTCGTCACCCCCCCAAATCACGCTCTCGGCTGTTTCTGGAACAAACTCGATGATTAAAACACCAAAACCAGTTAAAATCTAGTGAGGATTTTAGAAATGAGCTTAGAATCCCCGAATTATAGGGTTTTGACACAAGAAAGCAAGCAAAAACGTTTACGCGCACGGAGGGTTCTCGTCTGGCGACTGGCAATTTCTCAGAACGCCAAGAGCCCCCGCAACAGTGCTTTGATTTGACAGTTCTGGGCCCCTATAAAGGGATACCGACGTTATAGGTCGAACACTCCTGATCGACTTTTTGGCAAATATACAGCAGGGCAGAGATCGTGCCGAGGGGCGAGACACAAAGACATTAGCTTTCCCTGGCGTCACCGATTACTTATGCCATCGTTCTCTTTTTAAAGGGCCCAAGAAAGATGCATTTGGCGAAAAAAGCAAAGAATTTTGCAGCGGTTTTTGCAGCGGCATCGAACCAGCGGTGGTCACCCCACAGCCCAGCGTGCTAACCAGTACACCATGGCGCCAACCGAGCCAGGGCGACGAAAAGCCATCAAATACCCTAGGGTGGTTGCAGCGGTCGTTCCCGGTTTTCTCGCTTTCGCCTGCGCCGAAATTTGACTATACATGAAAATTACGATTTCGGAATACGAATTACGTCGACAGTAGCGTCACGTCGGTCCGTCACCCCAACGGACGCCTGGCCATCTTTCTCCAGCCCTTTAAGTTTCCTTCCCCAGCGCCTACCCCACCTCAATGCAGTGGTCGGTGTCAATGTGATTCGGCTTAACGTATTCGTCTCCGATGGCGCCCCATAATCTCGGGGTCCAGTTCGAGTATGTATTGTTCCGCTCGCCATCCTCCCAAGTGATTTTATGGTTGCTAGACTGCAAACGGGTTGATCGGAGGTAAACTTCGTTTTGACAATAGGCAATAGTAAATCCTCAAATCTAACTGGCTCACCAGGTAGGCGCCGGTCCAGAAATGTAAGGGGGGCCCCGCCGCGGCGTGCCAAGTCTGAAGTTTTGAAATCGTAGAGAAATGCTAGTGCAACCGCTCACCCATGTCATTCGGGCTCATATAAATTTTACCAGTAACAAATCGATTTTCCTCGCTGTCAATGACGGAAGTCGGATAACTGTTCAAACCACGACAGTATGCCAAACGATTGTCGTAGCTGCCTAGCGTACCGTCCTAAATGAGATAGCTAAAGCCCTCCCCCAGTCGGAAAAACATACTATGGTTTTACATTTTATCTGAAAATGTTGCTTGTTTAAAATATTTTGCTCTAAAATTGTCGTAACAAGAACAAAGTTAATACGGAAAACGGCTGAACATTTTACTCTCGTAACTTATGTCATACATTTTTTGAAAATCCGGCTGGTAAGCAAGAACCTAGAACCACCCTAATCAGCCGACTCTTTAAAAACAACAAAGGGACTTAAATACAGCGTGTCCCAAAGCAAACTACCCCCCTCTAGCGGTCTCGGGAAAGGTCGGATCGGGGGTGATTTCCGCACCATTCGACAGCCCTCGAAACGGTGGAAAACAAGCTCTTTTCTTTTACACGTAAAAACAGCGCCACCCTGTTAGCATGATTTTGCACTAAATCTGCAGTTTTCATGGTTAGATAATTGGTTTGGTTAGGCTTTCGTTAGATACATAAGTCGTCAAAATTGGAAGGGGGGCCATAATCGATTTTTTGGGACGCCCTTTGGTTTTTTGGCTGAGTTTTTGATGCCGAGGATTACGTTTTTCGGGTTAGGCTTAGCCTAAAGATTGCGCGCAAGATTAGAGGTTAGGCCTGGCTTAGGCTGGGCGATCGCCGCTCGATTCAAAACTCACATATTTATAGCATCCATGCGGCCCGACCGACCACCCATAGCCGCACACTTTCAGTACGGTGGTGGTGGTAGCCTTGGTGGTTGTGGTGGTGGTAGTGGTAACCTTGGTAGATGTTGTGGTGGTAACAGTGGTCTTTCTGGTCGTGAGCTCCGGTGGCGTATCCTTGCTTGGCGCTTGTAGAACGGGCGTCTAGACATCTACTAAATCTCGCTGCGGATGGCCTACCTGGTCTTTGCGACACGCCATCACCTTCGGGCTCCAGTCACACTTCAGGTCGTTCCATTTTCCGGCCCCGGTCGCGGCCATGTTTTGCTCCAGGCTCTTTGTTGGGTCAAACTTCCAGTATCGAACGTACATCTATAAATTTCCGTCCTTGGCCAGCTCGGCGAGCACAGACTACGCATGAATCCAGTATGCACGCATGTAGCAAGTATCCAGTAGTAGCAAGCATGAACGTTTTTCGGTGCAAATGGAGTTTTGGGACGAGGCCTAGCTCATTCGAAAGCGGTTAAAAACTGAGCAAGATCCGTTTTCCATTTCTCCAAAACGATAGAGGTTAATTTTGAATAATTAAATTGAAGAATCCGAGAAATGACATAATTTTCTCCGCGCGGGGCGATTTCCTGCCGACATCCCCTCTCGCGGAAAGCTCTCTGCCCTGTCTCTTCTCTATTCTGCACGGGATAGGCTGGGACCAATTTAGAAGCGCCACGTTGACCTTGGGTACCCTTGTGAACTTGATGGACTTGCTCTCCCTCGGGTTTTTTTTTGTATAGCATTCCGGTTTCACATTTTCTCTTTTAAAATGCACGGATGCCTGTGGTAAAGTCAGTACCTCGATGCAATCCTCATTTTTGCCCTGATGATTATCACTCGGCTCTCTGCGATCCCAGTTGGTGAAGTTGGAGGGTTTCCCGTCAAGCCACTTGAAACCCGACGGTCCTTTGCCGGTCTGAAACACCATCTATCTTTACTTTCATTCCTTCGTACCTTTTTCGCTCCCAAAAAGAGTGCCTCATTCTTTTGCACCTGAGACATGATTGCGAATTCTGAAAATTACAAAGTGGTAGCTTTTGAGGGGCCCGATACCAAGAATATCCTTATTTTCGTCCGCATTTACCGCCGACGCTATTGTAGCGCCATATCGTTTACATTCGTCTACAGCTTTTGAGATGTCCACGTTTCGGATCATCTTCAGGAATTTAGGTATTACTGTGCACTTTTAGATACCTTAAAACAGCTTCGCGTTCTGTTCAGGGCCAACCATCCATCTTGACAGGTCAGCTAAAGATATAATATTCATTTGTTTCCAAAGTTTCAGCGCTCTCAAAACTTACCGGAGTCGCACTCTCCTCTCCGACATTCCGGTAGCGCAGCTACCGTACCGGCATAGGGCCGCAAATATATGCCGAGCTTCGCGACCATCTGCTGCAGGTGTGGCCCCGGAAATAAGATACACCCGAGCCTCCAATTCTACTTTTATACGCGCTTTTTTTCTGGTTTTCATGAATAAACGGTCAAAGACCTAGACGTTTAGCATAGAATTCAGACACCAGGTTTTGGGTTTAACTTTATTGGTCACAGTAGGATCAAGAAATTTTGCGTTCAAGTTTTTTCCTTTCTTGCCCTTCTGATCCGCTAAATTTCGTTAAAGACTCAACTAAAACTATATTTGTAACAATTGATATATGTTAAAAAATACTCAATTGGTATAGGTTTTTTGACCGCATAAAATTTGCAAGAGCGATGGCTTATAAAACAACTCGTCGCCCACATTCGTGGATATTCTTCGTCTATCGTTCGGAGATGGTCGAAAAGTTCGGCATATTTCTGCTGTTCCTAGCGACTGCCGTATCCACTATGCCGGATTGCCGACATGGGGCATGCGATGCAGTAAGTTTTCATGGCGGACTGTGGCCAAGGGGTTTCCTTAAAAACGCATGTGAAAATGTTTATTAGCTGAACTTGTGAAGCGGGATGGACTGCGCTGAACCGGACGAGGAGCTGTTTCAAGGTATCCATACGACTAGAGAGCTAGATCCAGCTGCTCTGTCTTTCTAGCTGATCAGAATGTCGATATCTCAAGCGAATGCAGAATGCGGACTCTACGGTGCAACGGTGGCCGGTTTCGGAAACGCGGAGGGAAATAAGGATATCCTAGGTATATCCTGTTTTCACGGTAACAGTTACAGATCTTGAGAATTCGGAATTATTCCCCAAGTGAAGAAAATTGAGGCCTACTACCTCGGCGCCAAGAAGGTACCTCGCTTATCGATTTTGAAGTGAAGCAAAGAGCTAACTGGGCGCAAGAAAGCCTCTATACGTAATTAGGCGCCAGCGTAGGTCCTGTTTTAGAAGGGCAGCGGGCCTTTGGGATTTGAATGTGATTGATGGGAAAAGGTTCAACTATACGAACTGGAAGAAGGGAATGAGCCGACGACAAACACAAATGGAAAATCGGAAGAATGCATTGAGGTAGGAATTTCAAAGCTATTCGAAAATGACCAGAGAAGGATCCGAGGATACCTTCATTTAGATGTTCGTGCGGTACTGGAAGTTCGACCCAACGAGTTTGGAGCAGAATATCGAAGCGACTGACGCCGGGAAGTGGAACGATCTGACGTGCGGCTGAGTCCGGAGAGTTTTCGCGTGTCGTAAGGACCAGGTAGGTGACATCGCTATTCGAAGAGCCAAAACATTTGACATAGCGTCCCGAATTCCAGGGACCCAGTAAATATCCCCCCAGAAGAGCCGGAGCGTTATCACAACTGTGAGCAAGCCAAAGGTAGGAATACACTTTCGTAAGATCCCAATATCCAAGCACCAGGAAGTGACGAGTGATTTCTGGCAAATTATTGGCATACGGCGCGACGATGGCCCTCACTCCTTCGTATTTTGCGCGAATCTCTCCGATTTTTTGTGCCAACGCTATATTCCGCAGATACTGAGGTCTTCGCTGAAATCCTCACTAGATTTGGTTTTTAAAGGGGCGCGGAACTGCCAAATGTAAGCTCTTTTGGGAGGCGTCTTATATTTCTGGCAATATGCGAATTATAGTGTTTTCATAAAGAAATCGCGCAAATATCGGAAGCGCCAGAGTCTCTCTCCACCCGCCGTGCGGCCGCGGCGCCCCCTCAAAAATATAAGGCCCCTTCCAAAAGGGCCTTTATTTGGCACGTCGGCGCCCCTTTAACCCCTTCTCTTGGGAAAATCTCAACAGATCCAGCGGCGGGAGAGGGCGCTTCAGCGGAGAGGCGCAGAGACATTTTCTTTTTCCGCGCGTAATCGATTGGCTTATGCCGTCCTTATCGCTTCTTAATAAGTTAATCTCGGCCGACAAAGGGCTGGATTTTGGGCAGTCATTTACTCGTTTTTTCAGGATCTCAGCCAAATTTTTTCCAGTAGATTTGAGGAGCCCGTTAATTTTCGCTTCAGGGTCCTCCTTAAGAAGCTGGATGGCTGTGGACGAATACGACGGAAAAATGCTACAAGGTGGTGCTGGAATAACAGCGCCTGGAAATGTATCGGGATTGTAGTTCCTGGGTTAAAGCACCCTGAACCAATCGATAGCACAATGCGGGAAAATGGATGCTGTCGGTGGCAATGATTCGTTCGGCTGCCGAGAATCAGGTTTCGATTGGTGACTGTTTTTGCGAAAACTATGAGCTCCAGGTTTTCTCAGTAGATTCCCTGGCAAACCAACTACAATGCAACTGTTAAATGCTTTTCCTCGGAGCTCGCTGGGTATTTTTTCACGGATGTCATCAGCATTACATCTTTAAAGTCTGGGAAAGGCAAGCTCGATTTTCGCTGGTTCGATGGCACCAACCTCAATTACAACAACATACATCAGCCTTTATATTGGGGAAACTGAAGATTGTCTAGAGGCATGAGGTCTGGCTACACTCTGGATTTTCCGGCCTTAAAATTTATCTTTATCTTCCAGTTTTTTATTTGAGACGCCTTTGGCATCGCCAGCATCTGGAACGATGTCTCCTGTGAAGCCCAAGAACAAGTCGGCGTTTGCGAGAAGAAGAAGCCGTATTCCACTTCGTAATGAACAATGGTTTTCGAAAACATCTAACCCACAAAGCCAGTTATGTGACAAAACAGAACAAAAAGATAGGTTCTCGGGGTGGATCCGAACGGCATTTGTCCCAGTCTCCAGTCTGTCCACGAAATTCATCAGCCAAAATTGTCACGTTTAACGCTTTTGAACGCGGCTATTTCGGCAGTTCTTGAACATAGATTTGGGATCAGCGAAAAGTTCGGCCCAAGATAGGCGGGGTGCCGTTTCGAAATCCCACTGAGGCCCAAAAAGGTTTCCTTGTCAGCGCCGATTCCTCAAACAGCTATTACGATGATACAAAAATTCCTTTATCTCCGAGCAGTCTCAAAGCTTTGCAGCGTCTTCCGGCAGATCGCCCCATCAAAAGCATTGTTGCTGACGAGTTCTGGCTCCACCTCCCGGCAAAGTTGGAACTGAAACCAACTGTCGTTTTGGAATTTTATAATCGGTCCAGTTGAGTCTCCATGCAATTGTCAAAACGGCGCTAAAAACCCTAGGGGTCGCTAGATGTTTGAAACATTGCTGGTAAGATTTAGCTTTTACCCATTCCCTCGAGTACCAAGCGTTTTTTTGCGAAAAACTAAACCATGCGTTGGAAGGGACCGATTCTATAAACTTGAGAGACAATTAGCCTGGAGAACTTGCTGGAGCCTCGCGTGAAAGAAAACTGGCGACAACTCGCGCTACGAGTCTCGAACGAGGCGTGGTACTCCTCCCGCCAGATACGAGCTCGTCCCGTCCTTCATCCTCGTGCGTATCGGGAGTTGTCCGGAAACTGTCAAATAAAATCGTGATACAAATCGGTCGGACTTTATCACGAGTCGTGCGCTGATGCCATGATTTTTCCTTCCCGGGTGCGATGCCGCAAACAAGAAACCAACAATAAAATTTACCCGCATGCCGTTGACTCGGCCGAGTTGCATCTAAAGACATGTGCTTACAGTTTTTCCGTTATGTTGCTATGTTTCTCCCAAGGCAACCCCGGCTGGTCGTCGCGACTCTAGAGGCATCATCGGTGAAGTTTTTATAAACCACCTGAGATCTGTCTCATCAGCCTTTTCAAACCATTTTTCGCATGCACTTACTCACGAAGAGAGGAAGACGTTTTTTAGTGTCTTCGGGATTTCCATTTGGGAACCAGCCTTATGTGTAAGATTTTACGCGGATTTCGAAAATGTCAACTAAACCCGCAGAAAAGCAATTGGGGGAAGTTACAAAGAAATGAAAAATCGGGATGTGCTCATAACTTTCAATGGTTTTACTGACTTAAATAGTTTACAACTTTCTTCGAAAATAGCAATTCCGCGAATTTGATCAGTGTATTCGGAATCTTGAATCTTTTAAGCCTAGAATTTCAGAGAGTCGAAAAGCAATCTTAGAAAGCTACCTCCTTCTGACAAAAGGTTGCCCGCTCGGGCGTCCAACACGGATAATCATTCCACTGGCCGTCAAGCCGTAGCTAATCCGGGTTTTGGAAAATGATCAAAAAGCCTTGTACCTGCAGGCATACCTTCGACCCGCGCAAAATCCATCAAAAAAAGTTGTCCCAATTCGTGTAGTCCATTGGTGAATTGTCGTTCCAGACAAAAGTCATACTCTCTTCCAGTTAGTGGTCTAACGAAGTGTTGTAATCTTACTAATGAAGACTACCTTGAAGCGTCCAACCACGCAAAATGCACGGCCAGAAGAGGTTGTGAAGTCTATGTATCGATACGTAGAGTGAAAATGCTATCGGGGTTACCATGAGCAAACTGACTTTCTCAGCCGAGGAATGGATGGTCAATATTCGGGCTCCAATCTGTTTGCATTGTTTGTCGGCTTGAGGGAAAGTCAGCATGTCCTCCAGGAACTAAATCGGCAATCTTTAACAAATTGAGGGGGATCTCGAGTATACTGTGTACTCACTGCTGCAGTCTCTGGAATATACTGGCAAACATTTATTGGTCCCCGGCCCCTGAACCCACCCACTATCACGGCAAAAGCTTCCCTAAAAAAATCTGAATATTTTCTAATATTTTGGGGTACCTGATTACCGCCCAGGAGCAGCGTAGGTGCTGGTCGGTTTGGATCATCCATTGCTCAGTTTTCGCGCCGTGACTTGACGGCAAGTTCTAAAGAAAGCCATTTTGAGTGTTGCAGAGCAAAAGGCTAGAATCTGGTAGCGTTAGGCCTATCGCACGCCCTATGACCGTACTCTGGTTGCCGGTAGCGGCCCCCGCTTATGTGTCGTAAAGGTCCACGCTCTTCGCGATTTTTTCCACAATTATTCGTCCCAATCTTATCCTTAACCTCTTGTCTGTGGTTTATCGAATAAACTTTTATCGTTTATTAGATTCGCTAATTGCAAGTCCACTCTAGCGCTACACCCCACCTCAGACACAACAATGAGAGATCAGCGGTTTGAAATTACCGAGCATTGACATATTTTCTACTTCTTATCTCCTATTTTGTAACGTTGGCGCAATGATACCGAAGACAAATTGATTCTCGGCAGCATCGCGGATGGACGTCAGGTGACCGCCCATTGCCACGCAGTTCGCCTCGTGCCAGGCGAATATCGTAGCATTCGGGACCTGAATGGGTATTGCTAGCTGGATGTGCTTGGAGGCAACTCTCTCCAAGGACTATGGAGCGCAACGCGTTCACCTTTCAACCTTAAAGGTTGAAGATATCAACCTACATATTTGTAACACCCATTCGGACCGACCGTCCACCCAGCGCCGCACGGTCCAGTTGTGGTAGTTGTCGTAGTCGTAGTTGTAGTGGTAGTGGTAGTCGTTTTGATGGTGCTAGTGGTCACCGTGGTCTTTTTGGTGGGGAGCTCCTCTAACGGTTCCTTGCTTGGCGCTTGTAGAGCGGGTGCCTAGACATTTACTAAAGTTGACTGCAAAAAACTCACCTGGTCCTTGCGACAAGCCGTCACACTGGGGCTCCAGTCGCACTTCAGATCATTCCATTTCCCCGCCCCCGTCGCGGCCATGTTTTGATCCAGGCTCTTCGTTCGATCAAATTTCCAGTAACGAACGTACATCTAAAATTTTCTGAGCTGAACTGCAGGCACCCGGCCGGCACCCAACTTTTGTATCTCGGCTCCCTGTTGGTTTACAGGTGTAGGTGTGTAAAGTATACCAAAATGCTCGCCAGAGCAAGACGAACATTTGGGTATATTTTATACACCGGTAGATGAACAGGAGGCCGAGAGACAAAAGTTGGGGGCCGTCTGGGGGGGTTATCTGGAGTCTTGCCCGCTTTACCATCTCATGGCAAGGCTTTGACTTTTTCTATCTTTGATCATAGTCATTAGAACAAAAGCAGCTTCTGAAAGCTCTTATAACCGGCACCTCAATGCAATCCTCATCTTTGCCCTGATGTTCGTCGGTCGGCTCCCTGCGATCCCAGTTGGTGTATTTGGACGGTTTCCCATCGAGCCACTTAAAACCCAACGGACCCTTGCTGTTCTAAGCCACTTAAGTCTATAAAAACCATCTAACCTTGCCTTTTTAGCTCCCAAAAAGAATGCCTCGTTCTTCTTCACCTGGGACATGATCGCGAATTCTAAAGTTGTCGAAGATATGGTTTTTTCGCGATGTCCTACCTAGAATATCCTTATTTTCGTCCTCATTGACCGCCGACGCCACCGTTGCGCCATATAGCTTACATTCCTCTACAGCTTTTGAGATGGGAACGTTTCGGATCATCTTGAGATAGTCAAGTCATACTTTAGCTTCAGGAAACCTTAAAACAGCTTCGCGTTCGGTTTAAGGCCATCCAATCATCATCACATGTCAGCTAGAATAGATTATTTATTTCCAAAGTTTCAGCGCAGAAACTTGCCGCATCACAATCTCCGTTCCGACAGTTCGGTAAACCAGCTGCCGTACCGCATAGGGCCAACAAAAATATGCGGATATTCGCGACCATCTCCGGCAGGTGCGGCCCCGGAAATAAGATACACCCAGCCTCCCATCTTCTCTTTATACCCTGGTTTGTAGTTTTCATGCGGAAACGGGCATCAAAGGCTTCTCCTCGCCGTTTACCATAAAAATTCAGGCACTCCAGGCTCTGGATTTTGAATTTTTCGTCAAAAAACACCGGGAAAGAGCAAATTTTTTTCCTTGCAGGCCTTCTGATCGGCTAAATGTTGTGTGAATCTTATTTGAAACGGATCAACCAGGTTTATTAGGTTGTTACATCAAATCAATATTGAATTGATCAGGATTGGCCGCTTTCTCGCAGGCGACACTACGGAGGGAACCACAAGGCAAATCGTTCCATCGCCGCTTCCAAGCATCTGAAAAAAATTGAGAATAAAGCTTTTAACGGTCTTCCAAAGTAACTTCAGCTTAAATTAAAAGCATAAAGTATTTGTTTGTACCCACTTCCAAACAGTTTTCCGCATGGCCGTAGTCATTCATGACCGCATTATCGTAATTGGTATAATCCATCCAAGTCCCGTCAGCCCAGACAAAGTCGAGTTGGCCGAATCCAGTCTAACAAGAGTCGTTCAAAGACGCGTTCTGAGTTTTTCTGTATGACATAGCGGTTCTTTAGGATTGGCGAGGGGGGAGGAATTTTTTCGACGTTTTCAAATATTGTAAAAATTTTTTTAAAGCCTTCTACTTTAAATATAGTTAAAACTTACTAAAAACAATTTGAGAACCCTGTATATTTGAGTACCAGTGGAAAAAGACCGCTTCGCGGCCCTTTTCCACTGGACCCCGTCCTGGAACCATGAATTTGAACACCTTCTTTTTTTTAGCCTGAGGCGCAAGAACCTGAGTCAAAGAGCCATTCTATGGCCCGCGGCGCCAGGGCCAGCGTTGCGCTAGAATCTTCCAGCCTGCGGCGCTAGTTACTGGTTTTCCCCCGGATTTGGCCTGCGGCGCTAGAGCCAGAGCCAGGCCTAAACCTCGCGCTAGAATCTATTTGATTACTGCGCTATTTACTGGTTTTCCCCGGATTTGGCCTGCGGCGCAAGAACCTGAGTCAAACAGCCATTCTTTGGCCTGCGGCGCTAGAGCGAGAGCCAGGCCTAAGCGTCGCGCTAGAATCTTATGCCTGCGGCGCCAGTTCCTGGTTGTTCTCCCGGATTTGGCCCGCGGCGCAAGAGCCTAGATCAAGGATCCATCATCGGCAAGGACATTTTCATTGGCCTGCGGCGCTAGAGCGAGGGCTACGCCTAAATCTCGCACACTGAGAGCCTAGAAATATGTTTTGTTGCTGAAATACCAAAAAGCAAAAAATTAAATTCGCCCGGGATCCGAACTCACGGCTTGCCGGGTGGCAGACCGCGCGCTAACCGACTAAACCACGGGGCAGATGGGAACGGGCGGCGGGAAAGGCCTCTTGCGTCCTGGGCGCCGGGGGGAGGAGGGGAAAGGGGCGACCAACGATCCTACCTGTGGGAGGCCACTTTACGCAATCCCAGTTTTGGGTCTGAATCCGCTGAAGATTTGTAAAGCTAATAAGATGCGCGTGATCCCCACTATCGAATACATTAGTTGTCTAAATTACACATCGAAATTCCATCGGGGCTTCGAGTTACGGCCCGGACACCACGGCACGCTAGGCATTTGTTAAGGAATTTTTCTAAAAATAATCATAAAAGGCTTATTTTAAAGAATTTCTACAAATCCAAAAAATAGTATCGGGACAATTGTATTTTCTTTCGACCCTCCAAAAATCAAGGCCCAACTGAGCCGGTATCGCGAGATATCCTCTGAACATACCGATTTTTCGAGAGATTGTTAAGGATTTTTCACATTTTTGCTTGTAAAATGGGTAAATAAAGGAATTTCGGAAAATCCAAAAAACCGTTTCTCATAAATGGCATTACACACCTCCATGCCAAAAATCAGCCTGAAATTCGGCCTGACGGCCGAGAAATCGTCTGCACAGAAAACAGACATACTTTTCTCGCTTATAGGATAGGACTAGATCAACCGGGACCGCCAGGAAAAAATTTGGTTCCCCCCCTCCCCCCTCCCCCCCCCCCCGCGAATCCTAACGAACCGCGATGTCGTTAACTTACCCGAACGCCATTAATATCTGGCCAGGGACGTAGCGTAATCCAGGCCCCGGGGGCCCGGCCCCGAAATCGGCCGGGGCCGAAAATTCTCATAAACCCTTATGATTTTTATTTTTGCTGCCTGCGGCGCTATTTTTGCACGTTTTTACGGCTATTTGTAGAGCTATGTAACCTTTTTTTCCAGATTACGCGGGTCTGGGGGCAGGCACATCTCCAGGTCCGCCCTTTCCCCCGCGCAACGGTCCGCTCTTTCCAAACCGAGTACGGGCCTGGTTAGTGCATAAGGCCATGACCGCTAGTACAGTGAGGTAGCTGTATGCTTTTCAGCCCGCCAATTTTAAATCAGCCAAGCTTATCAGCAAAAAAATCGACCGGATTTACAAACCTTCTATTTTATATATGAGATCTTGTCATGAAAGTGTATGCAGCGCGATCGCTGACATTTATCGAATTTTTAATCACGGAACGTTTTGGGTTTGTTGGCAAATTGACCAGCGTGGAACATCGCATTGCAACTGGATCCAATAGGAGTTATAGTGCATCTGCAAAAATTGTTCAAAACTGGGGCAGCCTACCGCCATGCAATCGTCGGTCCCATTTTCCGTCGTGACGTCGTACCAATAACTCAGCGGCGTGCCATCGACCCACGAAAACCCAAGATCCCCATCACCCGTCTGAAATAAGCCGTTGAGCTGGCGCTGAGACAGGATGTTCCGGCAAGAGTTTCTTTACCCTACCCCCCAGCCGGAAGGTCCCAAAAATATTTTTAAGGTCACAATCGGTAGCCCTAGGTCTACTATCCCCTGGCCGGGAATTGCAAAAAAATCAATAGTAAAATTTATACAATTAAAATAGTGTTTGAGCGGTTATTCGAATTTAGCTTGTTTTTGACAGAACTATTTTATTTTGCATTATTTTGGGTTGTAATTAAAACTCTTAGTATATTTTGTGACGCTCTATCGAGTGGCGTTGAAGAAATTTTGTAAAAATCTCGAAAATGTCGAAAACTAGCTTTGCTTTTCCTTTTCCTACGGGGGAAATCGCTTTTCAATCATGTTTTTGCTGTAGCTATTTTATATTGAATTATTTTGGGCTGAAATTAAAACTGTCGTTATATATTTTGATGCTCTATCGAATGTATCGAAAATGTCGTAAAAATAACGAAAATCTCGAAGACTAACTTTTTTACCCCATTTTTAGTGGTTGCTCTTGTTTTTGTTATAACTATTTTATATTACAATTTTTTTGAGCTGCTATAAAAACTCTTAGTATATTTTTTGATGTGCGATCGAATAATGGCATCAAAAAATCCCGAAAAAATAGCGTAAATATTGAAAACTTTGGGACCTCGGGCGGGGGGTAAAGGAAACCGTAGCCGTTGTCCCCATTCCACTATAAAAGGTATGCAATATGCACCTCCTATTAACTGAGAAAATGAAGGCAAAGCACGGACTGTTCCACCAAAAGAGTAGCGATTCAACACAACAAACCCTGCTGGCTCCCAGCCAGCTAAATTGGTCCATGAGTCCTTGGCTTGCAATGTACCATGTTCCGGCCGGCAAAGCATCCCAGAAATAGGCTTAAAAGACGACTGTTAGATAATCTTCCTATGGTATCAGGTTGGATAATAAGTTCTGTCACAATTTTTTGAAATAGCTCGTTCAAATCACAGATGTTGCCAATTTTGGAGTTTGAGATATGGTTCGATAGGTCTGGCAGCTCTCTATCCTGGGAAGACCATCAACTGACCCAAAAACTGATGGATTTCGAGATACAGCCCCGAGAAGTTTTTCGCAAAATCATACGAAACGGAGTTTGCAAGTTATCTCTGCATAGAGCAATTTGCATACGATACCTTTAACGCCAATCGATAGCTATCGAGGAGTAGATATCGACAGGTGTTGAGATCATCAAAATCGGACATCGGATGGCCGAGATATGGCCTCTTGAAATTTAGCCCGTTTCTTAGAACTTTTCTCGAAATCCCATACATTTGGTCAAAATGCTCCCGGTACTTTCAAAAATCAAGCGATCAGTTTTGGCTCCGGTTGATCAAATGTATGGGATTTCGAGAAAAGTTCTAAGAAACGGGCCAAATTTCAAGAGGCCATATCTCGGCCATCCGATGTCCGACTTTGATGATCTGAACATCTATCGATATCTACTCCTCGAGAGCTATCGATTGGCGTTAAAGGTATCGTATGCAAATTGCTCTATGCAGAGATAAATTGCAAAATAGGTTTTTCATGATTTCGCGGAAAACTTCTTGAAGCTCTATCTCGGCGTCCCTCCAGTTTTGGGGGCTATGAAGGTCTACCCTAAATAGAGCTCGATGAAACCTATCAAACCATATATCATACTATCAATTCGGGCACGTCTGCAGCGTTAACAAACGATTCCAAAAAATTGTGACAGAACTTATTATCCAACCTGATACTTTTCCGGCCTGCAAACGATTGTTCGAAAATGCGCAGTATGTGGAAGAAATCGGACCAAGACTTTTAGCAGAAACACCCCCGCAAAACCGTGAGAGTTTTAAACATCCGGCCGCGCCTGAATTGTCAGTCTGCCAGAAAAAAAGCCCTTTGTGACATCCCGATCGATTAGGTTCAATTCCAGTGTCATACCGTAGTAATCATAGGTATCATACTCCCCGGGTATTATCGGCAGGTGAGCGTTGATACTTTCACACTCGGCCTTTGCCTCAGCGAATGTATACAGTTTGTCAAGTAGCTAAAAATAGTATAGAATATGCGTCTTTGTCGCAAACCTTCCAGCAGGATTTGGTGTACTTGGAGAAATGAGTCAAGGTCCAGCCATCCGAGCAAGGCTAAAATTTGGCATCAAGTTATAAAAAAGTTGCAAGTTGCTAGTCACTGCCGATCAAAGGGGCCAAAAACGGCAATTTGCCGGGGCAAAAAGGCCAAAGGAGGCGGGCGCAGCCGCGCCAAAACGTTAGCAGGGGTGCATCCACTAGAGTCACCACCCCGAAAAGTCAGTGCCCTGAACTCGTCTATCTCAAAAAATCAAGGCATTGTTTTCCCGGAAAATGCCAGTTTTCATTCGGATTTCCCATGAAAATTACGCAAATAATTTCGGCGTTGTAGCTTTTCGGGGTGGGCCCCGGACGCCAGTTTTCTTAGTCGTTGGTATCATTAAAATCGCCGTGGTCCATTCCACCAAGTTGGAACGAGCCTTTTTGAAGCTACGCTTTAGTTTGAAAGTTATAAGGATTAGAAGTTTTGGCCGCAAGCATTTTTGAGTGGATAGGAGCGCCGCGTTGCCTAGAGCCTTATTGCCGAGAATATTGGACGTGCAGTGCTCAGGTTACCGCAAATCGAGCAAATGCTAGATAGATTGCGTAATTTGAAAACTACTGATTTCCTTTACCGGTGTGGTTGTCGTAGTTGTTGCCGTCGTAGTCGTCGTAGTCGTCGTAGTCGTCGTAGTCGTCGTTGTAGTTGTAGCTAAAGGCCGGCTCTTGAAATGTGTAGCTCTTTGTATAGGTATATGAGCAAGAAGTTTTGTGAACTTGGTGTTAAGAAAAAGGCGGTCTAGATTGGGAATTCTTCTAATTAGGATCCAGCTTCGGGGGAAGAGTAGAGACCAACCAATGTTACATCCAGCTGGAAAGCATGGGGTCTCTTCTTCCGGCACCTCATATCCACAACGCACCAATTGTTCTCCGCCAACCATGAACTTCACCTAAAATAGTTTTGGCTACTGATTCGCTAAGGAACATGATCATTAAAGCAGTTCCGAAATCTGGTCCCCTGCCCCCTGCGTTGATGCCTGGCAAATAGCCAGATAACTCCGCAGCACGACCGCGCCGCATGATCCTTTGCTCCTGTTTCGACGTGAAAGCGCTTGAATTTCAAAATTCAGACACGATTTCTGTAATCCTCATCGAATTTTGATTATTCTAGACTTTTTAATTATGAAAATTGATCAGTGAATCACCGAGATCGAGAGATTGGGCGCCTTACAAGGCATTACGACCTGTAATCGCCGCGGACTCAGAATGTCGTTTTCGCCCCGAAAACATTTCGATGTTACTCCAATATTTCATGTTTTTTTTTTCGCAGGAAAATCACCTTTCTGGTACTTTTCGACAGTAACCTTTTCGCTTTTGACCAGTAGGTGGGCACCCCGCACGCGCGAATTTTGACTTCTGAGCCTCTTTAAAAGACTAGCTCGACTCATACCGTGGGTTGATTCAAGACACAACTCCCATCCGGACAAGGTTGTTGCGGACATCTTGCCGTTCTAGTAGCATTGCCACTGAGGACAGCATTAGTATGCTATTACAATGGGCCGATAGGGGGCTTACGTGCATGGTTTGATCACAGACGTCAAGCAAGTGCGTATCTGTGGGATTGTGCCCTTTCTTCCGCAAGTCTCCGTGCACGACGCTCCTGCCACGTTTGTCCATCCGGACCAAATTCCTAAACGCCACTTGCTGATCGTTTTCCTGTGCCAAACTAACCAGCTGCCGGAACTCTCGGACAATCGATGGTTTCGGTCACTAAATTGATATAGTTAGTAATATAGTATCGTTACGGCTCCCCGACACTTGCGGCGCGACATTTGCGGCGCGACACTTGCGGCCGACACTTGCTGCGCGGTCATTTGCGGCGCGACACTTGCGGCGCGACACTTGCGCCCTACCCTTGCGGCGCAGGATTCATTAAAGGGATACCCAAGGTTTTGGTGGCAATATATAGTTATGTATTCCGGGCAGTACAAATGACGTGGGAATTTTGTGTGGCAATGAGGCGCCAGTGCCGCACAAAATTCGGACACCTTTCCCTCTTGTGGCGTCCCCATCCCACCCAATGGCTTGCCACTATGGTCTAATGGATAGCATCCTGGCCTACAAAACGTGGGTCCCGGGTTCGACCCCCCGCCCGCGGCATGGTTTTTGCTTTTTGAGCCCCGAAAAGGTTGGGCATCCCTTTAATTTTAAATGTTGTAAATTTGGCATTTCTTCACGGATTTTGTTCGTAATTGTTGGATTTGTGTTCAAAATTAGCAATTTAACCGACCCGCAGTCGGAACGCCCCTGAGGGCGTCAGGCAAGGTGGGCCGTCGCTTCGGATGGGCTGCCGCTCCACTCTTTCTAAATCAGGGGCGCCTGGGCGCTTCGCGCTCCTCGGGCGCCCCGATTTTGAAACCCTGTACGAGCTCGCACCCATCCGAAGCGACTAGGCCCCGGGTGGCACGAAGCCTTTTTCTAGTCGCAGAGCGGAGGAAGTAGCGGCCACTTTCCCTCCAAATTGAGTGACTTCGGTCGCAAACCCGACTTTTTATAATTTTTTAATGCCAAATTCGGATGCAGCTTATCAAATAACACCTTAAACTATTTTTATATAGCTCATAATAAATAACCGCAAGGTCGCGCCGCAAGTGTCGGGCGCAAGTGTCGCGCCGCAAGTGTCGCGCCGCAAGTGTCGCGCCGCAAGTGTCGCAGCCGCAAGTGTCGCGCCGCAAGTGTCGCAGCCGCAAGTGTCGCGGTACCATCGATACTCACTGTTGCAACTAAAGTTCGGGTTGGCGATGTCTTGCACAGTGGTGTTGGGCGACTGGCAAGTGTAGACCCTGCTCGTCGTGTTTAATTTCTAAAATATAAAATACCGGTGTGGCCAAGTTAAAAGTCACCTTCACAAATCCATCACCGCAAGTGACGTTGGGAAAAGTGCACATTGCGTCAGGGCAGGCGACGGTACGGGATTTGGCGCCGCTAAATGTAAGTGCGCCTAATTTTTGGTTACAGTCTTTTAAAATCAGTGGTCCCAATAAAAAGCACCGTACGCTAATTCGCCGGAGAAAGGTCAGGTCGGAATGATAGTTATACCATTCGAAAGCCCCTTGACATTGCGAGCGCGCAACCGTCTTCAGACTTGCGCCGCGTCACTTGCGCCGCGACATACATAATTTCAACTACTCGCAAATGCCATTTTTCTCGTTGAGTCCGAATTTGGTTAAGAAACGACATCAAGATGGTTTTGCAATAGGAATCACTCGATTTGGAGGGAAGGTGATTGCTACTTCTTCCGGTCTGCGACTAGCAAAAGGCTTCGTACCACCCGGGGCCCTAGTCGCTTCGGATGGGTGCGGACTCGTACAGGGTTTCGAAACCGGGGCGCCCGAGGCGCGTGCAGCGGCCGGGCGCCCCGAACTCCCTGTATACTTCTTAAAACTAATACTAAAGAGTCTTTACTTGCATGGACATCCGAACTTCTCAGAAACGCATTCGCGCGTCTCGACACGAAGCCCATTCATTCCACAAGTAGCAGTACAGGTGGATACGATCTTCCACTCGGTCCAGGCGCCATTACCGCCACTTGGGCAAGCCGACTGCGGGCAGACTTGAATTCCGATCACCAAACCTAAATTTGTGAGCAAAATACTGGTTAACTCCAACCGATTGACCAGAATATCGGCAGAATGGTTTTTAGGCCCATATTTGCAAATAGCCATGTGGATTCCGAGGCCTATTTATTGCGGCTTCAGCGATTTGCGGTCTATCGACGTTGGGTGCTATTTTGCGTGCGAACTCTTTCTTCGAAGGACCATTTTCCCGTAATTTATCATTTTTTGGTGGTGGCTTCTCGTTTACCTTGCTCCATTAATCATGCTGCCTGGGAAAACGGTCTTGAGTTTTCCACTTTTGCCCAAGGTATCCTTTGCATCCCGCAAATCAGAAAATTTGGGCAGGAATTTCGGTGGTGATCTAGAGCGCCAAAAGAATGGTCATTTTTTGGCAAATTTATAGCAAATCAAGGCTTTTATAGCAGTGCTACACCCAAATTGGAGCTTTCTGGCAGATTCCGCGATTCTTGGTATCACACGGCCGGTCGTTCCACTCGCGCGTTACACGTAGCTAAAAGGTGAGAATAAGTGGAGACCGAAGCAGAAGCTTCACCTCTAAACAACTCTCCCTGCCATCCAAGTTGTCGAGGTCTTTGCTCCATTTAGTATAATTCATTGGCGAATCGTCAAGCCAGGAAAAATCACCGACGGTACCGCTGTTCTATTCGGAAAAAAGTTTGGCATCGGGTATCCACAAACCCTCCGAGCGCCTAGCCAAAACAGATTCGTCTCGTTGAGCACCCATGTGGTTTCGTCTGAAATAATGATTAATATACCCTCTCCGGATGCCAAATACCTCGAATATAATTATTTTCATCCTCAGAATGTACCGAGGCCAACGTGCCATTCATCGCCTCGCACCTCAATAGAGCCTTGTCGAAGTCAGTGGCCTCGTTTAAGATCTGAGCAAAAAGGCACTTGGACTGTTCTGCGTTTTTTTACCGCGTAGCACTTGGAAGTTTTTTCACGGAGCTTCCATGTGGCATCACCACAAGTTGGCTAAAAATAAAAAATGTGACTCAACAAGTGAAAAACCTTTAGCTCCAAATTTTCTAGTATGGTTTGAAGCTTGTCAGTTAGTTTCCTATAGCGCAGAAACAAACCCGGGGGAACAAAGGAAAGTTAGACGCACCATGGAGAGGATTTCGCGCCAGTTTTCTGGCATTTGTGCATCGATTTTTCTTGTGGTATCATGAAGTTCAGTGCATCAAACCTCTAAAGGTTATCCGAAAACCGAAACCTATGCTGAATTAGTTAAATTGTAAGCGCGTTTATTATACTCTGCCATACCCCAGGAGTATACCCCCATGGGGGGTGCAAAGGGGTACAAGGTGGGGTACAGCGGGGGTACGGGGTGGGGTACGGGGTACCCACCCCTACCCTCCACCCCCACCCTCCCACCCCAGCAACCCAACAGATTTTTTCCAGTTAACTCCCACACATACCACATATCGGTGGCTCGCAAAAAATTCAGGAAGAAATGACGAGAGATCCCGCCGGAATTTCACCAAGGCAGTTCATAAAATACGAAACTTGATAAACATTTTTAAATTCTTGTGATTTTTTCCACTTAAAACATGTCTGAATGTACTAAAAACATTAATTGAAACTCTTACTATAACGTTCAGGGGTTTCTGGGTTTATTTCAAAAGATTGGTCCGCCGATAAACTTTCAACTTAAAAAAATGTAATGCGCGAACCCTTTTTGCAGAAAAGAGCCTTCTCAACAGCACGGACAAATCAAGCTTCACGATCAGGCCTTCTAACCTTGGGTACCCTCTTTGTGGTAGTTGCCGTGGTACTCAATGTGCTGGCCGTCGTCCCGGCTTAGCATCCTAGCCTGGGCCCAAGTAGCCCGTTGGCCTAACAAAATCGGAAAGGTTTAGCAATAGCCGAATTTACTACTAACCTGATCCTTACGACACGCCAAAGCCCTCGGACTCCAATCGCACTTCAGATCATTCCATTTCCCGGCGCCGGTAGCCTCCATATTTTGTTCAAGACTTTTCATCTTGTCGAACTTCCAATAGCGTACGTACATCTGAAATTGTTAATCTGATTCTACCACAGATTATTATCCTTATTTTAAGAGGTACTGACCCGAACATACCTCAATACACGTCTCGCCCTGGTCCCTATGATCGTTCGGCTCCTTACGAGCCCAGTTTGTATAGTTGACAGGTTTCCCGTCGATCCACTTGAATTCCCAAGGCCCCTTTCCGGTCTAGAATAAAAATGGGTCCTTCGTATGAACACACCGTACCATGTTGGCTCCCAGGAAAAACGCTTCTTTCTGTTTGACTTGATCATGGATGGCAAACTCTGAAACGAAATTTAGATTTTGAAAAATGAGGGCGATGAACCTAAAAGGTCCTTATTTTCGTTCGCATTTCTGATTGAAGCAACGGTTGCACCATACCGACGGCATTCAGCCGAGGAGTTTGACATGCTGACGTTGCGGATTAGCTGAAAAGCACTTGCTTGACCCCCAGATTCACATTAACAGATTATTAAAAAGCATAAAAATGCGGCGGATAATAGTTGTGAGTAATGACTGCTTCTCGAACGTTTTGAAGTTTTTGGGTCGGGCAAGATTTTCCTGGCAACCTTACTTTAAAGCAGCTTCTGGTCCGATTCATCGCCGTCCACCCATCCTGACAAGTCAACTGAAAGTGGCATGATCCTAGTCAAACCTAATTTTGTCTGTTTTGAACGTTTCTAATCATTCTATAGGAGTTTTGGAACCTTCTATCAATAAGTTTGAAAGCTAAGCCCTACGTCATCACAGCCAGAACCAGCACAATCAATCGCCGCCGCGTTTCTATTGGCCAAAATGGCCAATAGAAACACACCAAAGTTTAGAAACATGTTTTCAAAGACCTTCTGTCACGCCTCGAGTTGCTTTTATAAACGCCTCTACTTGAAATTTTATGCAGCAGTTCACCAGATTTTTCGGCGGCGTCTTTGTTCTCACATTGTCTCTGGTTGCTCGGTTTCATGGTCTCAAAAATCAGATTTATGTTTCGGTTTTATTAGACTCCTGTTCTCCTTGCTTTTATTCGTGTTATAACCTGGGAAAAATTACTGTATGAAATTCGTCAAATGTGTCAATGCTATCAGTTGGCAGGCTTTAGGGCTTGTTTTGGTGGTCATAGTTTTTAAAATATTTGGAAGGGCGATCTTGCACATTATTTCGCGGAATGAATTCGCCCCGCAATTCCTTGCGCGACGCCGGGCATTTGATGCATTTGCACGGATCAAACAATACACTTCAATAACCCGCGAAAAATTGCGATCAATCAATCGATTAAAATCGAGATTTTTCAAACTAGAGAGGTTGTTTTTTGTCAAATAAGCCTAGCTTTACGCGTTAATAAAACTTTGCTGCTAATTTTGGCATCTTTATTGATAAACGCTCGCAGCTTTTTCACAAGCGACACTTCGCATAGAATCACACTTCAGGTCGTTCCACTGACCACCGGTGCCCAGCAACTAAAATACGTTATAAAACCGAGAATGAATAAAACAATCCTGAAATACTTTGAGTACTTGGATGCCCTTCAATAAATAGAATAGTTACCTCCAAGCAATATTCCAAGCCTTCAAAATCGTTCATGGACGCAGCATCGTAATTTGTATAGTATATCGGGGTCCCGTCAGCCCACTCAAAGTCGAATTGGCCGGTCCCGGTCTAGAACGTGTTTTGATTATTTGTGCCTAAACGAATACCCTTATCCCATTCAAGTAAGGCCCGTAGTAGAAGTTTTTCGATAGCCAAAAGTCTAAAAACATGATGTTTAAGGATTCGGTTCCAAACTGAAAATCGCTTTATTCTCAGCCGCAGTCTCCACGGTCAGAACCCTCGCTTCTAGGCCTTCACAGGCAATTGTAGTATCATTAAACGTTGCATTTTGACCCGTCATCTAAACAAAATCAGGGTATCGTCAAAAAGTTTAATTCGGTACCGCATAACATTTCGAGGTGCCATTCCCTAACGTCCAGTCGTCGTCTGCACAATAATCCTACCTTATATAATTTGGTTGCGTATCTTTGTCTGTGTGTGTGTCCGGCCGTCACTTTCGAGGCCCGATTTGTGGGCCTTCCCGTGCATAAAATGCCTTAATTCTCCGTCACCCGGGGGAATCGACCCTCCTCTTTCCGATAGCGCTTTCAGAATCCCGATAAAATACAAGTTAACAAAGTTAAAGCCGGTTTTATTCATTTTTGGGGGTCCCTGAGGGCTAATTTGCATAATGCGGAAAAATACAAATTTCCTCATTCTTGCCAGTTGCACTCGCGAGTTTGGTCGTCTCTTTGGATCTGCCTCTCGATGCCTTTCCTTCCCCTGCCCCGGGCAGTCCTCTTGAGGCATAAAACGGGTGTTTGGCGCGTGCTACCAAGCATTGCATGGTGTAGTGGTTAGCGTTTCGCCGTGCTAATCTAACCATCGGAGGTTCGATCCTCGGACATTTTAGTTGTTTTGCTTTTTGCTCGGAAAGCGCGTTTCGGAGTGGATTTCCGTGTAAGGACGTTATTATGAAGTTAGTCACTCAAGCCGCAGCCTATACAGGGTGCCCATAAAAAAGCACACCTCCGGCATTTCGCCGTATTACATCCCAACAGTCCCAAAATTGGAATGGAGGTGTATCAGACCCTAAATAACCACAATCCTGAGTTATAGCCCGATCGTTACAGTAGTTTTTGAGTTATCGTCAAAATACTGTTTTTACGCGGTTCTTAACAGTTTTTTCGGCTATCTTTTTTGGACTTTGCATCGATTTGCATCGACTTCCGGCTCCGAATCCCTAATTTCGCTTAATAACGGGGGTCGCTTTGCGTTACAAAAATTGTTGAAATCAACGAGTATTTCACTAATTTTTATCAGAAAAAATCTCTAGGGGTAAAGCAGGCTTGCCGCTTCATTTTCACTTAATATTCGAAGGGTCGATTTTGACGAAAACCATATGAAAAACGGATAATAAAGTTTATTTTTGTTGTATCTCGAAGATTAGAGTAGCTGGCGGGCTATAACTCAGGATTGTGGTTATTTAGGGTCTGATACACCTTTGGTCCAAATTTCGGACCGATCGGATGTAACACGGCGAAATGCCGGAGGGGTGCTTTTTTATGGGACACCCTGTAGAATGAAGCTACCCGCTCAAGCATGCGCTGCAGGCCAAGGAATCAAGCTAACTGCTCAAGCTAGCGCCGCAGGCTTTAGAACGAAGCCAGCCGCACAAGCTAGCGCCGCAGGCTTCAGAACGAAGCCAGCCGCTCATGCTAGCGCCGCAGACTTTAGAACGAAGCCAGCCGCTCGAAGCTCAGCGCCGCAGGCTTTAGAACAAGCCAGCCGCTCAAGCTAGCGCCGCAGGCTTTCAGAACGAAGCCAGCCGCTCCAGCTAGCGCCGCAGGCTTTTAGAACGAAGCCAGCCGCTCAAGCTGGCGCCGCAGGCTTTAGAACGAAGCCAGCCGCTCAAGCTAGCGCCGCAGGCTTTAGAACGAAGCCAGCCGCTCAAGCTAGCGCCGCAGGCTTTAGAACGAAGCCAGCCGCTCAAGCTAGCGCCGCAGACTTTAGAACGAAGCCAGCCGCTCAAGCTTAGCGCCGCAGGTTTTGTAGAACGAAGCCAGCCGCTCGAGCCAGCGCCGCAGACTTTAGAACGAAGCCAGCCGCTCGGGCTAGCGCCGCAGGCTTTAGAACGAAGCCAGCCGCTCAAGCTAGCGCCGCAGGCTTTAGAACGAAGCCAGCCGCTCAAGCTAGCGCCGCAGACTTTAGAACGAAGCCAGCCGCTCCGCTTAGCGCCGCAGGCTTTAGAACGAAGCCAGCCACTCAAGCTAGCGCCGCAGCTTTAGAACGAAGCCAGCCGCTCAAGCTTAGCGCCGCAGGCTTTAGAACAAGCCAGCCGCTCGGGCTAGCGCCGCAGACTTTAGCGAACGAAGCCACCGCTCAAGCTTAGCGCCGCAGGCTTTTTAGAACGAAGCCAGCCACTCGAAGGCCAGCGCCGCGAGGTTTTAGAACGAAGCCAGCCGCTCGAAGCTAGCGCCGCAGGCGCTTTTAGAACAGAAGCCAGCCGCTCAAGCTAGCGCCGCAGGTTTTAGAACGAACCCAGCCGCTCGAAGCTAGCGCCGCAGGCTTTAGAACGAAGCCAGCCGCTCGAAGCTAGCGCCGCAGACTTTAGAACGAAGCCAGCCGCTCAAGCCCTAGCGCCGCACCAGCTTTAGAACGAAGCCAGCCGCTCAAGCTAGCGCCGCAGGCTTTAGAACGAAGCCAGCCGCTCAAGCTAGCGCCGCAGGCTTTAGAACGAAGCCAGCCGCTCAAGCTAGCGCCGCAGGCTTTCAGAACGAAGCCAGCCCTCAAGCTGTCGCCAAAGGCCAAAAAAGGAGGCTAATCCCTCAAGCTTGGGCCGCAGGATGAATAGCGACCTAGCCGATCAAACATGCGCCGCAGGCCTATAATGAGACTAACAGTTCAATCTTGCGCCGCATGCCAATACGAAGAGCTTTGCATGGGAGATAGGTTTTCTTTCTTCAGGATAACTGTCTGTGGAAGGGTGCTCGATTCGTAAGGGCTGGGCAGATGGGTCCAGCGGGGAGAGTCGCGAAGCGGCTCCTCCC